AGTTTTGATTCGTCGACGGGGATAGCGTTGGCGGCGTCATTCGTGATCACCATGGGAAACGAATGCGTGTTTTTTTTTTTTATGAATATCGGGTTTTGTTAAATCATATGAGCGAAAATATGGAGCTTGTTCCAGGGACTACATTTGGCATGGATATTGGAGCCTGAAAAATTAAAGTTGGGGTTGACAACCGGAGCATCATCGATATGGTACAACACGATAACCACAGTGGCCGCATAGAAGCATTTTGAAGGGAATAAAAGAGCTTTTGGATCGTCATTGGATTGTGGAGATTAATCATGGTTATAGAGAAACCAACTTTGTTGCAGATTATTTGGCATCTTTGACGGCAAAAGGCAAGAGTGGTCTTCACAGGTAGGAGAGTCTTCCGCCGGAGGCGAGCATATGGTTATACCATGATATAATTGGAGTGTCTTATCCTCGGAGGATCTTAACATAGGTTATGTATTATAGACTTAGCCTCTTTTTCTTGTACAAATATATATATATGTACACACACAATATATCCTTAGAAATGAATACCAAATATCGAAAAAATAATAATACCGGTTTGTGAAACAGCACAAATAAAAATATTAAAAAGTATAGGTCAAAATATTGGAAAGTAATATATTTATATAAATAAACACTGAACTTGTGTTTCCATTTACTGACAAATGAACACAAAATGTACTGGAAATTTGGAATGCAGTGTTAACAGGCTATTGATTCAATACAAACTATAAAAAATTATAATATCGGGAAATTTGGAATGCAGTGTTAACAGGCTATTGATTCAATACAAACTATAAAAAATTATAATATCGGTTTATACTAAAGTTGTCCTGTAAAGTTCGACACAATTACCAAGAAATTCATGTCGATTAAAAATAAAAGAATATGAATATAAGAGAAGTTAATTATGGAATTAAAAATTAGTACCAAAAAAAAAATTATGGAATTAAAAAAAAAAAAAATTTAAAATTGGTTATCTTATTTTATCGTATTAAAGAAATGAAACTTAGTAAATTTAGTTATCAAAATTTATATATTACCATAATACAATTTGAGTAAATATTGTTGTAATCATACGATTCATACCACAGTATAACTAACACAATAATATATTTAATTAAAGGGAGATTCTATGGTTCCATTACGGAACCATTCCGTCGAGGTTTGTAACCGTTAGATCAACTATCCGCGACGGTTACATGATGATCTAACGGTTACAAATCTCGATAGAATAGTTCCGTAACGGGATTGTAGCATTTTTCTTAATTAAAACACCTATTGGAGTAAACTTTTTTTTTTTTTAGCATACAAGAAATTAACGAGGATTGTATTCAATTTAGATTTCTAATAACTTCTTAAACTTTAGAAATTTTTGTGTATTCAATTTAAATTTGTTAACACTATTAAAAATCTTGTGTATTCGGTTGAGATTTTAAGAAATATTATTACAAGATTATGAGATATTTAATTTATTTGAGACTAAAATTTGCTGAGCCTTTTAAAGATTTTTTGTGATTTTTAATGAAAAACTTATACGAAATCTCACTTCATTCAAAACTAAAAAATTTCATCTAATTCTTCCAAAATTTGCAAATTGTCATTAGAAATCTCAATTAAATACATCATCCTAATCATTATCACACGTTAAATTAAAAAGTCATACAAATATAAAAGAAATTTCCGTGTAACTCCACCCTATTTATAATCTTAAAAAAAAAAAAAAAAA